GCCGCTGGGGGCGCGCGGCACGTGGTGTGGGTCTTTTTTTTTTTTTTTTGAGGCCAGGAGCTGGGGCAGGTGGGGCAGTCATATGGGGGGCTGGAAGAGCAGGGGGGGCTCATGACAGAGCCCCCACATGGCGTGGAGCAGTGGGGGCCAGCAGGGATCGCCCCCCCGCCTGGTAGCAGCCGGTGAGTAGGGGCTTTTGGGGAATCCCCAAATCAAATCAGTGTCCCCCTAATCGGCCAAATCCAAATCCAAAGCAAATACTAGCCATTTTGCACAGGCCTAGTCTTTAGCTCCCATTGCCCCATGGCTGCTCTAATATTGGGCGACGAGTGAGGGAGAGGGAAGGTAGCTCCTATCAACCTTTGGGATTGGTACAATCTAATTTGGGGTCTGTATGTCAATGAGTCAAGCACAGGGCATCAGCACAGAACCTAAGTACAGGCAGATCTACCTGCACAACCATCACCCCCTCCTTATTCATAGCTGTCCCCCAAGTTCCTACATGACCCCATCTGCTCATTGTCTCCACAGCATATACCTTCATAGTTTCATAGGAAGGGACCGGAGCAGATCATCAAGTCCGATCCCCTGCCACGGCAGGAAAGAGTACTGAGGTCAAACGACCCCTGCAAGGTATTCATCCAGCCTCTTTTTAAAGAACCCCAGGGTAGGAGCCAGCACCACTTCTCTTGGAAGTTGGTTCCAGATCCTAGCCACCCTGACAGTGAAGTAGTGCCTCCTGATGTCCAGTCTGAATCTACCCTCTGCCAGCTTGTGACTGTTATTTTTAGTCACTCCTGGTAGTGCTCGGGGGAACAGGGACTCCCCCAATGCCTGCTGGTCCCCTCTGACTAGTTTGTAACAGGCCACTAGATCCCCCCTTGGCCTTCTCTTGTGGAGGCTGAACAGGTTCAGGTCCCTTAGCCTCTCCTCGTAGGACCTCTTCACTTCTCCCCACACCACCCAGGCTCTTTCACCTGTCCTATCTCACATAACTCCCTCCTTCCCAGGTGCCCTCAAGCCTCTAGAGATCTCCAGATCTTGCCTATACCTCTAACTACCCAGCACAACCCACTAGCAATTTCTCTATAGCAGGGGTGTTGGCTACAAATGTCCACCTTGGGATCCTTAAAATTCTAGTTTATTGGGCAGATTGAAACACTGTAATCATAAACCTTGGGGCTGGTCCCCACACACACACACACACACACACACACACA